TTGTCGTATCTCTTCTTTCTTCTAAGAGCAGTTGTACATGTTTCCTTGAACATCAACTTCAGAAAGTCCCAATGTTCTTCCACAAAGAATTTCTCAGTGATACCACGTAGCGTCTCCAACTTTGCTCTGATTGTTGCAGTAAAGGCATCTTTTGTAGTTGCATCTTTCAATTTCTGAATGTTGAACTTTGATTGTGACCTGTCTCCATTTGTTTTCGGGGATTTAAGCTTCACCTTGAAGGTTACTTGAACTAGATGATGGTCTGAGCCCACATCTGCTTCCCTTTTCGACTTTGCGTCCAGCAGTGTAGCTGTGTCTCCACTTCCTTGAGCAGCATTGAGGTGAAATCTATTTGGTTTGTCGTATGTCTATCAGGCGAAACCCATGTTGCTTTGTGTATATCCTTGTGTTTGTATACACTACCTCAAATAACCAAATACCTGATCGAATCTGGATATCAAGCTAAGGAACTTCACAGTTATTTACAAAATACGTGACAATCTCCCTAAAAGAATATCAATGAAACTTCTTCAAACCTCAGAAGCAGATGTCAATTCACGTGTTAGGAGTCCTGAACGCTGCATTCGAAAGAGGTTTTCTTCCATCACCCCCCTCCTATTAAATTTCTCAGCCTTAATACCACTGTCGTCAGCTTGGCTCTCGTCTAATTTGAGTTGAATTCTAATCAACCCTTTCAACTGTATTAGGTCACTTACTTTACTTATTTAATTTTATTCTAGTTTTTACAGGATCAACCCCTTTTTGTATTACGCAATTCGTTATGAAAAGAATTAACAATTCTAATGACAGACCTTTAGAAATATTTCCTTTGTCGCTAAGAGAATTCACTACATATATATGCAAGCGATTATACAGTTTGAGAATGGTACTGCTGAAAAGAGGAGTAACTCTTCGCTGAACGTCTTTTCTTTTAAAATTGGAGTAAGGATTTCATCATGAGCTGACACCAGTTAAAGAATCATTGGAAAACCTGCAGGGAGTACTAAACAGCTGTAACGTATCCAAGAAGACATTACGAAGTGGTCACGCTATGTCTTGAGTGAATTGGTAGAAGTTAGAATTCATGTAGTGGCCATTGGATCGGGTCAGGTGCAAGTGGCTTAATGGTTTGCGAGTTCGCTGGCTTTGTAACCAGAAGGTCCTGGGTTCGAACCCTGGCAGTGGGTGCATACTGATGAAGAACCCTAAACTAGGCTGACGAAACGGCTGTCTGGCTGTACTTCCTAGCTGCTTTTCCAAAGGTTTTCTAACCGATGTCAGTTCATGATGCAATCCTCCAGTGAAATCCACGACAGTTGACTTTAGTCACGTAGGAAGGTGTAGACTTTCTGGTTTGGGTCCTCGGGACGGTAAACACCAATAAACGCTGGAGACAGTTGGTGATATGACTCAAAATCCTCGTTCTCAATAGCTGGCGCAGGTGCATCCATTCCTTGTGACTTATAATACCCAATAAAACTATATTGTTCTCCCGTATGACTATTTTTCTTGCCTCATATCTCTGTTTACTGTGTCTATTTTGTGATTCTTTTCACTTTCTTCTCTTGCTTTGTGTGCTACATGGGGGGAGTATGGCGACTCGAACTGTTGCACATTGGTGCAAAGTTCTATGTTGAAAGCGGTAAGTCAGTCATCAAACCAGTTAAATGAATCCCAACTTGAAAATAATTTTTGAACAACATAGAACCTTTTTCAATTCCTTTTCATGGGTCACTAACCCCAAAAGTTCCCTCGTTTTTTCTGCACTTATGACCAACTAATAAACCAATGCATTAGTAGTCTAGGCGAGGTTTCAGTTAGACAGACAGTCCACTTTACCACTGACAATGTCATGAAAACAGCTACATATACTCATGCGTAGGCACACGCACGCGAAGAACTATTCTTGTCTTCTAATTCAAAGAAGTGTCAAATAATCAGGTTACCATGGTGAAGTTTTGTTTACTTCAACCGTACTCATTTGAAATCAATCTGAAAATTTACTATTAAAATGACATCAGTCAATTTCTGCTTTACGCACACACACTCCCTGCACCCCTCTTTCCTTCTCTTGTAAAGGTGATGTTTATATATGTACATTAATGACAATATTGATTGGGAAATAAAGGACTAGGAATATAGGCATAACAATTAATCTCCCACCCTCACCCCCTCCGTCTTCCTCTGCGACACGCCCTACTATAACTACCCCTACCCCACCCCACCCTGATAAAGTCTATTCAGTACGGTTAAACTATTAGGATTTTTAATATTTTTTTGAGGTGAGTAAAGGGAAAGAAATTATTGATTAGGCGAATAAAGTATTGATTATCTATTTGCGGTGTCTAGATAATCGTTATGATCGATAGATATATATACTATGTTTTTCGACTATTTTACAGTTATATTTATAAACGTGTAAATACAATTTAATCGTTATATTTACGTTTCATTCAACAGGCCTTTGAGTTGTGTATTTGGTTAAGTGGAAAACTAAGTGAAATCTAGAGGGTATTTAGGTCTCAAAGTAGTCTTCACCCCAAAAGTGAAGTTTACAAAAACTTACTAAAGGTATTTCATAGTCAACGAATCGCGTATTGTTGAAGAGTCCCAAGCTAGAACAAAACAGCTGCCCAGTACTCCCAGGTGGTTTCCTAGTGGTTCTCTAAACGATGTCAGCTCATGATGAAATCCTCCAACCAACCAAACAAAATTCAAACTTGAAGAAGTTTATCTTATGGTCACTAGTGACTGGCTCTATTCAGGTATGTAGTTAGTTACCTAGGGTTCTAGTGGGAAGCCGTGACCAGTAGGGTGCAACAGGTTTAAGGCGAGGCAGTAACTCATCGAAGACGTCGTTGCCAAGTAGTCGCACTATGTCATGAATTGGCAGAAATTAGAATTCATGGATTGGGCATTAGACTGGGTCCCAGTGACTTAATGGTCTACGAGCTCGCTTGCCTTGTAACCAGAAGGCCCCGGGTTTGAACCCTGGTGGTAGTTGAGTACTGCTGAAGAATTGCAAGCACTATGACGAAACAGCTATCTGGCAGAACTCCCTGGCTGGTTTCCCAATGGTTTTCTAACTGATGTCAGCTCATGATGAAATCCTCCAACGAATAACATAGACTTGAGCTTCGGCTAATTGATCTATACTGATTGATCTTGATTGCCAATCAGTCGATCGCGTGTTTGAACCCCACTTCACTTGCAGGAGTTTAGGTAGCCAGATAATTAATGTCCTTAGTCCTCTCATCGTCGAAGTGTGCCTACTAGGTAAGAGTTGACAGGTCAAGCGAGACTGCACATCTCCAATCCAGCATAATAAATAATCAGTAAAAACAAAAGTAATTCAAATTAACTTAATTCACAACAAGTTCTGATTTTTTCTTAAAAAAATTAATTATTCTTTATCAGCCTGATAGGTGATCACCGAATGATCACGACCAGATATTGTTGAAAATAATTAAAAAATTTCATCATGAGCTGATATCGATTAGAGAACCATTGGAAAATCCGCAGGGAGTACTACCAGACAGCAATTTTGTCCTAGTCCTTGGAACTCTTCAAGCAAGTAGTTACCTGGGTTCTAGTGAGAAGTTTCACCAGTCGTGCCATATCCTGCGTCAATTTATAGAAGTTGGAATTCATATACTGGTCATTGGATCGGGTCCTATTGACTGGGTGATCCACGAGCTCACTGGCCTTGTAACTGGAAGGCCTTGGGCTCCACCCGGTCTGTGGATGCATACTGCTGAAGAGCTTCAAAAACACTGGAATGAGACAACTGTATGGCAGTACTTTCTGGTTGGTTTTCCAATGGTTGTTTAGCCTATATCAGCTCATAATGAAATCCCGTAGTATATTATTATTTTTATATAGTTTGGTTTGTAAGGGTTAGTCATGTTTTCACGAGTTGATCACGGATTGATATCAGTTAGAGAACCATTGAAAACCAGGGAGTACTGGACAGCCAGTTGTTTCGTCCTAGTGCTTGAGACTCATCGGCAGTACGCACCCACTGGCCAGGGTTCGAATCCAGGAACTTCCGGTTACAAGGCAAGCTGGCTCGTATACCATTCAGCCACTGGGACCCGATTCAATGGCTAGCCCATGAATTCTAACTTCTACCAATTCGTGATTTAGTGCGACCCCAACCATTTTCGTAGGTGGGACATCCATTTTCACACGTGACATCTGGATGAACCTCACTGGTCACGACTTCTCACTAGAACTCCAGGAAACTCCATCCTGTAGCAAGTGACTAGCGAGTATCAGATTAATTTTCTATAGTTTGGTTTGTAAGGGTTAGTTTTGTTTTTACAAGTTGACCACGGATTGATATCAGTTAGAGAAACATTGAAAGCTAGGGAGTACTAGACAGCTGTTTCATCTCAGTTTGGGAATCATCGGCAGTACGCACCCACTGGAGTTCGAAACCGGGACCTTCCTTTTCCTTGGGTTCTGAGTGGTACCTAGATCTTCAACAGTACACTTTCACTTCACCTAGTTCTCTGAAGTCTAGTTCCTCTGGCTTCATGAATACCGACAAGCTTGCGTTCCCTCCTGCCTACAGGATCTCCTCCATGTCACCCTTGCACACACATACACACACCGAACTCATCATATCCTATTTTTCGTTTTTCTCAAGGGCCTGCACATGGTATGTACCTCCATTTTCTTCGACATGTTTGCTGGGCTGCACAGTGTTAGATTTTGTTCAGCTGTCATCTGTTGGAAATGGCACTAATGACGTGCGACATTAAACATTTACGCTAAATACGGACACACACACAGACCGAAATGAATAGACAGATAGACAAACAGACACAAACAAGCACATAATGACAAGTCGTACTTAACATTCTTAAATGTCACGTACGCACACACCCACGCCCATTAATCTTTTTGACATCACTCTGTGTTGCATTCTCTTACAAAAATATTTCTCTTTTACATTTTTCTATTTTCAAAACAGATTTTATCACAGAAAAAGAAAGAGAACGAAGCGGGGTAGGAGCTGCAACACAAGCAACCGCAAAACACCGTGTGTTTATTCATTACCATGACAACTGGAATTTAAACAATCGCATCCATAACATTAATGTATTGACGATAAGATTGTAACACTATTCGATTCAACTGTCACACCAATTCCTTCTCCTCATCAAATAATCCCTGTGATTCAACTCAGTTGTGATGATAATTTCAATCTACAATTATTATTATTATAATTATTGAAAAAAATAAAAATGAAAAATTATTCAAAATTCGATAATTTATCCCCAGAACGGAGTTGTAATTCAAGCCCGAAATGGTCATCCCCAGAACATCATTCTTCATCGAATCAATATCATAATAAATCGATAAATTCAAATAGACATACACCTAATCATAAATATATGATGAATAATCAATATTATAGTAATAATAATAATACTAATATAGATGAAACTTCTACTGCTACTATTTCAAATGATTCAAAAATTCAAATTTTTAAATCAATCGATGCGGATGAAACTACACCGACTGGTACAAATCAACAAAATGGAATTATTTCCATGATCAATACACCTAATAATACGCCAGCTTTAAATGGTTCCATTGATATTGAACATTTACGTTACCCATTGAGAGAAGCAATGAATCAAGATTTAATTGATTTGCTGAGATCACAAATATCAAAATTATTAGAAGAGAATGAAAAACATTTATCAAGAATTGATGATTATCGACAAAAGATTACATTAATTGAAAGAGTAAGTCGGGTCGATTGTTAAAATACGTGTGTGTGTGGGTGGGTGGGTAGGTGGTGGTTCTATGTAACTTATGAAAGCAGAATATCATATTACTCAACATCTATGTGATTGTGTGTGTGTGCATGTTAGGTAATCAAGTGTTAAGGTGAAAAAAAGAATGCAAATACTTTGGCAGCAACGTTCTATCATGTAACACTGTGTGTGTATGCGTGTGTGTGAGTGTGTGCGTGTTAAACAGAATGGTAATGGTAAAAGAGATCAATATTTCTTTGTGGTTGATATTTCAATCAATAATTGATGTGTATTTATGATGCTCTATTATCATCCTTATTTGATAGTGGATGGAATCGAGAATGCGCATCTCGTCTTATTTCGGATTCATCAGACGAATGTATCTGCACTTTATGAAGAAGCATCAAACATAGGACTTCACTTCAGGTGAACATAGAGAAAAGAGAGGTGACGATGAAGATTCCTGGCCACCAGTAACAGCAACAACAACAACAGACAACAATCAGTCAGCATAAATGGGAGGAATGTGAAAGAAGAAACTTCCTTTACCTACCAACCTACCTACCTGGGAAGCATTGTTTCAACTACAGATGGACGGAACTGATAAGGATATCAAAGCAGTGAGGATCATCGGGAAAGTAAGAAAAGCTCTCGTTTCTCTCAAGTCTGTGCGGAGATCAATAACACTCAACTCTAATTTGTAGTCAGTGCGACACGTCACGAAGGCCACTTCGAACAAACAATGCAACTTCATCAACAGCTGTCTTCGCTCAATACTACTCAAGATTAGATGGCGTCTCAGAGGGAACTCTGGGAGCACACCAACCCAGTAGGAACCAAATGTGCAAGAAATGTGCATGAAATGGAGGTGGATTGGCCATACTCTGAGAAAATAAATTATCAAGTGACATCCCAAGGCAGGCCCTCGAGTGGAAGCCGAATGGGAAGCGGCGAGTCGGCCATCACTGTGAGGGTGACATAGAGTAGGTGATACTAAGAGGAGATGAAAGCGGGTCGTGACCAGTAGGGTGTAACAGGTCGAGTGTAAGGACAAATACTCGCCGAATATATTGGCTAGCGGTCATGCTATATCGTAAATTGCCAGAAGTTGGAATTTTTATAGGCCAGTGAGTCGGATGCTAGTGACTTAATGGTCTATGAGCCCGCCTTGTAACCAGAAGGTCCAGGGTTCGAACCCTGGTGGGCGCGTATTGATGAAGAGTCAGAAACTAGGACGAAGCAGTTGTCTAGTACTCCCAGATGGTTTACCAATGGTTCTCGAACCGATGTTAGCCCACGGTAAAATCCTATAACCAATCAATCAATTCCTTACAAATCAATACTAGGATAATCAATTATCTATCCCAGATGGTATATCTATGTCAAATCTGTTTGATTTTCACTGTGAATATGCACCAGAACTATCGATTGGTCTTTTCAGTTTGACAGTTTAAGTATTTGGCTTCGAGCCAATCGGCGACGAGTTCGAGTCCCACTTGACATACTTCAACTATGGCACCTGGATAGTATCACCATTCTTCATACAGCAAGTTTGCCTCACAAAACCTCTTCTAGACAGCTGAGTTCAAAACAAATTTATTTGAATCACACACGCACACTCAGTAGATGGTTAATTAGTTGATGAGTTAATTGAACGATTAGCTGATCAATTAATTGATTTTTTATCACATACTTAGGCTTCTATCCTCAAAGTACTTGGTGATGTATGATGCATAGGATTTCAAAGTGACACTGTGTGTAGGTAGGTAGGTAGGTAGGTAGTTGTGCTTACGTAATCTAGATGACTTTTCTATTCACATATAAGATTAATTAAGTTGTTACTGTACCCATTGATTAGTATTTTGGCTAGCAATCTGCTTTAATCTACATGACGTTTCAACGTGCTCTAGTGCACTTGTATGTGTGTTTGTGTGTGTGCGTGTGTGTGTGAGTTTATATCTATGTATGCTGATGATTTGAGTTACATACGATGAATAAACATTCACAAGTGATGATGTAATTCATAGACACGTTGTTATGTGAATTGAAAAGGTTTTTACCAACTCAGTAATGAAAAGAAGAAAACATATGCAACCCCCCCCCCGGGTGGGAATATTTTAAACGTTAGTGACTTGGTCTAATAAAAATGACGAAAATAAAAATTATTAAAAAAAATAATTCGAAATCTCTCTATTAGTTCATATGAACTGTGATCAAGATTTGACTGAATAGTTTCCAAAAAGATAATTGGGCGCCGAGTGAGAAGTAGATATTTGTAAAAGGTTATTTTTGTAAAATCTTAGCGAAATTGAAATGCGTTATTCCAGCGTTTTAGTCGGCAAACTGGTCCGAACTTCTTCAGAGAAGTACTGACAGTAATCGATTAATTTCCCTGAAGAAGTTCAGACCAGTTTGCCGAACGAAACGTTGGAATCATGCATTTCAATTTCGCTCTCTATTACTGCCATATAAAGGGTGAACGTCAATGGTCTTACGTAGGATTCTCAATGAGGCTGGAGTGTTATATAAACCAACCAACCAGCAAACTCTCTCAGAGATAAACTTTGTCGGCCTAACGACCCAATAGATTCAATTAAGAAAAGTAATATAATTCACCAAGTACTATGTAACGCTGACTGTTAGTGAGTTCACTTACATGGATCAGTCAAACTAGTAGATCGGCGTCAGTCAACTAGATTATTGGAACCTAAAAATTTAGCTAGACCTAGAATGACTGACCCTGCGAAGTTAAATGACCCAGAAAAAGCTCAGCCACTGCATGACATTACATTTATTTCCATGTAATCACACAGAATAGAGTGGGACATGGTGACAGTATTAAAAAGTAATATAATTTGGTGGAGACAGAGAGAGGTGAATCACTGAAGCTTTGTTTTTCAGAAGATTGATTACTGAATAATGAATAGTCTTTTCGATAACGTCATCATCAGGTTCTACAGTTATATATATCCATCCATAATAATGACAGAATGATTGTTATTGACAACATTAGTGGTTTTTAAAAAGAGAGTAACATCGAATCATTTAGATCAGAATTCTACATTAGAACACCTGGTTCAAACCGGTTACAAAGTCAGTGTTGAAGATATGATGGAGAAGATTTGTAGCTCAGGTGAATGAATTTGATGTGGTTGCCTTCTCTGAGCTGGATAGTTAATTTCCATAGCTTTCATCGCCCCACTAGGTGACATCTTCAGCGCATACTTCGATTGGGACAACGTTCACATATTAGACAGAGGAATCAGCAAGAATGCTAGAGAATTTTCAGCAGCCTGATATCCCAGTGAATCGTCAATCAATAGACACATCGAGATAGACAAAATTTACCAACCTGTAAGAAGGAAACCTCTCACACAAAGACTCAAAATTCAAGTCAAAGAAACAATCAGTACCAATACAAGTAGCCTAGAGGGTGTGAAAACACACAAGAACAACCAATCACGTTCAAGGTGACCCACCAGGAGAGATGACTGATAAACTCGTGGAGAAATCTAAAAGTTCACTTCAAATTGAAGTATGCTCTGAAGATGTCGCCTATTAGGGCGATGAAAGCTTTGCAAATTAACTATCCAACTCAGAAAACACAAGCACATCGAAATCAATGTTAGAGAGTTCTTCTCCATCATCTATCGTGTACCAAACAAATTGCCAAAATCATCCAGGCACAGCATACTTCAAACATCAGAGGCTACTGCAATTCGCCTGAAACAACTGGTGATCTGTGTGAAGGAGAAACAGGTCCAACCGCTATTACTGTCCTGTCCTGCTGTGGAGTCTCAAAGTTCATAAATACCTTATCATATCTGCTTTTTTGATATTGGCCTCTATTCTGTACAAATAAATTCCCCCACCCTTTGTCATTACACTTGCATCCACAAACTGACCTTTTGTTTTCTTATTTGAAGGTAGTTTTCAACTTACAAGCCGACACACAACCCCAAAAAACCCTTTTTCTCTACCCCCGTCCTTGACATGACCATTCATCCAACCGAAGTTTAAAATCAATATGAATGGAACTTAATATGAACATGACTCATGAGAATTTATCATTGTACATTTGTTGTCACTCATAATGACATTTACTTTGTAATATAAGTGTCCAATTTGGTGTTACAATTTTACATATTACCACATACTCATATATTTGGGACTATAATCTACTAACAATCTAATTTGTGGATGGTAACTAGCAGTGGAATCCACGACAACGCGCATTTTGTTCTATTTGAGACTCGTCACTGGACGTACCTGCATTCTTCAGTGAGTGAGTGATGGTGTTCCCACCGAGGCTCAAACTCAGTGCCCATAGTTTCAAGCGCCAAAGCGTAATCCACTAGACCACTTGGGCCACGAAATCCACCTGTTGTTCAATGGGTCAGAAAGCCGTCATGTCAACCTGAGACCGAGCACTTTGGTCCAAGCAATCGACGGGAAAATCTAAAATTAAATTATTGACAATCTAATTGCAAATAACTTTTTTAATCCTGATCTAAATAATTCGATGTTACTCTCTTTTAAAAATCACTAATGCTGCCAATAACTATCATTCCGTCATTATAATGGATGGATATATAACTGTAGAACCTGATGATGAAGAGCAGGTTGTCGAAAAGACTATTCTTTGTTCAATAATCAATCTTTTGAAATTTCGAATGGGCAGCTTTGTTTTCCAGTGATTCAACACCACAGACTTACAATCGGAATGACACAATGCCTATCCCGGAGATAAGCAACGTGGCAACAAACAACAAAGGGAAGTTGGACAGACAGAAAGAGAGAAAATATACGTGTAAGATAAACTGTGAGACCGTGTGACTAAAATTGACTTGATTATGAGTGGCAATAATTTATACTCGAAGCCTCGTCCTCCAGTTGTTAATACTGCATCATCACTATATGAGATATTTAAAATAAACTTATCTAATAAGGAACTAAGGTGCGTCGCTGGTTCAGCACTAGAATGCTCGCCAAACACACCCCACGTTGTCTGGGGTTCGATCGTTGGCCGACGAACGTCTTTACCTCGCCAAGCCGGTAGTAATCCTGGTAAAGAGGGAAACTTGGGCATGAGGCTGACAATCCCACCGCGTAAAAATAAATACCACTGCTACCGAAACTTCAAAGCTCTAGCTTGAAGCCCCATGTTCCACTGGGAACGTAAAGGAATAAAAGAAAAGCAGGTCAGGGCAGCAATAATGGCTATACCTGTTCGTTGTATGAAACTACATTCTACCCCAGTGCGCTAGCTTCCAGGCAAAACACCACACACGGCGCTACTATTTTTCTGTCTCACTAAATCTGGCCAGTATAGGCAAATATTCGGCGATGATAATGGGAAACGGTGCTTATACTGTCATGAGTCGTTGTTTATTTTTCTTTTATCACTCATTGGACGAGAGCTGCAGTTCCATACACCAATCAGAAATAGCCTCCTTATACTTCGTTTATTCAGCGATTTCATGTATAATCTCCTCTCAGTGCTTCTCTCTTTTTTCCCTACTATTTTCCTTTATAGGAGAACCGTGAAGCTGCAGCTGACCCATCGAATGAACTAATCATACTTCAAACTGAACTTGGTGAAGCACGTATGCGAGAAGCAGAGTTGACAGTAGCCTTTGAAGAGCTACAGCATCGGATCACAGCTATTGATCGTCTTATAGAGACTGTAAGTTGATTATACGCATTACTTATGAAGATAATTTCATTTCTTATATCATGGAAAATTCCCATTGTAACATGTAGAGAAACAAAACAAGTGATTCAGCGAAGAGACTCTTTTCAACGAATTTATCACCAAGCTGTACAATCGTATATATATATGGTTTTTAAGAAGTTATATCCGATGAGGGAATTGAAACATAGGTGTGGATGCATAAAATAATAATAATAATAATATGAAATGCAATTAAAACTAAAATCTTTGTGATTATAATCGTGGTTAAATGTCAAGTGGCAAAGCAAATAATGTCATATATAGAATAATTCATAGGATGGATAGAACTTGAAAAAGGGTGTGCAATTATAAGATTAGTAGACAAATCGAATAAAATGAAAACGTTACGTAATATTGTGTGAAATTTAATAGCATAGAATTTAATGTTGCATAAAGGAATTGATTTAGAATGACAAGTGGAACAAGTGAAATAATACCGGGGACAATTAAAAGTGAGAGTAGTAATATTAACAATTGACGCAATAATGGAAGAGTGTACAAATTGAATAGACAAAAATGAAAAAAGTGAAAAATTGGTAGAGCTAAAATATAATTGGGGATTACCATACTTTAGCATAGAGGGATTAAGACCATGAAAGTTGGAGGGGTTGAAGGAACTTTTTCTGTACACAGAGATCTGGCTTTTCTGTTTCGATATCCAAAGCTTCAGCAATACAGATGAGTCGGGTACGTAAGGATTTGGGTAAATTACTCTTTGCCGTGTAGATGACTTTGAAGTTGGAGGCTATAGAGATAGGGTGATCATTATCGACCAGATGTTCAATGATCGCGCTTCTTATTGCTCCACTTCCACCTTTTCGTAACCCTTTTTCAAGTTCTATCCATCCTATGAATTATTCTATATATGACATTAATTTGCTTTGCCACTTGACATTTAACTACGATTATAAGCACAAACATTTTAATTGAATTTCTACCATGGTAACATATTGACAGTTTTAAGTTACGTCATGAATTGATACATTGGTAAAGAAAATCACTTAAAACCATCAAGGAGTTTTTTTGGATAGCAGTTTCACCGTCGTGTGTTTGGAATGCTTCAAAAACAATACACACAGCCATCAACTCACTACAAAGGTTGAACCTAGGATGTTCAGGTCACAAGGATTAGCGTGTTGAACACTCTGTCATTTGGCCATAATTAAATGACTCGTGAATCCGAGCTTCTGATAATTTGTTAATTTGTCAATATCAGAGTGTAGTTGATGCTTATCGATGGCTTTGGTTGGCGGTAGAGGTATATTGTAAGAATTGAGGGAATTTAGAATATACGGGTTGTTAAACTGTTCTGCCCAAAGGATTGAGTGGTGCCAATGAACTCTTTCTGATGACGTAGACGTCCTGGTTTCGATCCTTAGAGGAGTGCTTAGCATTAGGATGAGACAACTGTTCAACTGTACTTGCCGGTTTCTTAATGATTTTCTTAGTGATTTCCATTATGAGTTAATATCGGTGAGAGAGCCATTGGAAAACCAGCCAGGGAATACCGCCAAACAGTTGTTTCGTCCTAGTGTTTGGGACTCTCCAGAAGTACGCACCCACCGCTGCGTTCGAATCCAGAACCTTCTGGTTATAAGGACAGCGAACTCGTAGACCATTCAGCCACCAGGACCTGATCCAATGACCAGCACATGAATTCCAACTTCTACTAATTCACACAGGATGTGGCATGACTGGCACTAATCGGTGTCATCCGTGGCGAGTAACTGTCCTCAATTCCATCCTGCTGTACCCCACTGACTGGTCACGACTTCCTTCTAGGACTCAGTCAGTAGTGAGGATCACATTAATATTCAGGTGTTGGTTCGCAGTGATTTGATTGGCCACAGGATTTTATCGTGAGCTGATATCAGCAAGTATTTACCTGGGTTCTAGTGAGAAGTCATGACCAGTCAGTGGGGTAAAGCATATCGGAAGTGAGAACAAATACTCAGCACCGATGATACTGGCTAGTGCTAGTCGGGCTATATCCTGTGTGAATTGGCATAAGTTGAAATTCATTTGCTGGCCATTTGATCGGTGGGTCGCACTTACTGAATGGCCTACCAGCTGCCTGGCCTTGTAATCGGGTGGTCCCAGGTTCGAATCGCGATCGGTAGGTGCCTACTCCTGGGAGTAGAAGGCTGTCTGGCAGTACTCCCTGGCTGGTTTTCCAATGCTTCTCTAACCGATATCAGCTTATAATGAAATCCTGTAAATAATCTGGTCAAATCCCCGGGGAACTAACACTAGTAGATTCTCTTAGTGATTAGTCAGTTCGTGACGAGACCTACACTTTAAAACTAAAACCAAATACCTACAAACACAAAACTCGTAATCTCAAAAAGAAGTACCCCATATCGTTTGTTATTTTTTTAATCAAGTTGTCCAATAAGTAGTTCAGTCTTGTATTGACATTTATATGTCTTAATGTCTATTTAAATTAACTTAACGATTAAAGTATTCTAGATGCACAGACATGTAACTGTACGCTACATCATTATCTGTGCTTTTCTTCTGTGTTCAATGGTTTCAAGTGATAGATAGTTCAATGTTTCAATGGTAATTTAAAACAGCGAAATAAGCTACTTAATTATATGAGAAATTTTCATTAAATAGTGAAAGAAAAATTTCGCAACGATACGACAAAATTAATTAATTAATCTGTTGTTGTTTTTTTGGCGCCTCTACTTTTCGAAATGTGAATGGCGTCATTAGCGTTTAAAACAAACAGAATTATTACTATTGGTATCAACCAGATGCCATGTTACGGAGTTGGAGGTTTTAATTTTCAGTGGGAAATGATTCATACTGCACTGTCACTAAGATGCACACAAATATCATGTGTGTGCACGTGGTGGGGGAGGGATATGGGGTCACTAAGCCAATATGACTCTTTCTTCAATACAGAAAATTGTTTCAGGATTTTCATCATGAGCTGACATTAGTTAGAGAACCATTGGGAAACCTGGGAGTACTGGACAGCTGTTTCGTCCTAGTTTGGGACTCTTCATCAGTACGCACCCACCGGGATTCGAACCCGGTGTGTTAAGCAGTTGAAGGTGATTGTCAGAAAGTCCATGGAGTTCGGTTTCATGTTTGTTGTTGATAATCGTCGGTAAAAGCGTGCTCTACAACTCTATGCTTCAAACAGTTTGATGCCAATTTGAAGTACTAAGAACACATTGACTTAATGATATTTGATGGTTGGAGGCAATCGGCCACAGGAAGCTTTGCTTGACATAGGTTTCGTGCTAGCTGGCACTCAACTAGTCAGCAAGGCGTAACTGCAACCTTGAAGGAACAACTCATGTCCCTCCTTCTGAGATTCGAACCCGCGTCATCCAGTGCAGTTCTGCAGCCAGAGACGTTACCACTGAGCTAGCAATTCGGGCTAGCGATTGACCTTCTGTAGGACTGTAGTAGATACTTTGACTGGACACTAGTAACTAGTGTTATGCGTTTAATCCTTTCTTACTAAGAACACAATATTCAGAGAAGAAACTCCTCTTTTCAACGAATTTATTATCAAGCTGTACAATCGTATATATATATGGTTTTTTTTAAGAAATTATATCCGGTGATGGAATTAGGTCAAAGGTGTGAATACATGAAATAATAGTAGTAGTATGAAATGCAATTAAAATATTTGTGATTATAATCATAGTTAAATGTCAAGTAGCAAAATAATTAATGTCATATATAGAATAATACATAAGGCGTATAAATGCTGGAAAGGGGTGCATAATTATGGGATTCGTAGACGAATATAAAATGTTACATAACATAGTGTGAAATTTGATAACATTGAATTCATTATTGAGCTCATTTAAAAATCCATAAATGATATGACTGTATCTAGTATACTGGGCGACTCGGACTCAAATCACACAGGGGATATTAGTCCCTTCAAAGTTATAGATACACACTTTACTGACGATTCCCAGCACCCACAAACACTTGGGCACCGGTTGACTCCAACCATCTAAAATTTGGCTAATCTTCAAACTACTTAAATGAATCAGTAGTATATTTTGTATACAGTACTAATAATCATATGTATATATATTCATGTGCAGAGGAGGAAGGCGTTCAGTTACCAACATAAACAATCACTCCAGCCAAAATGGATCATAATGGTGATAACAATTCCTGAAATCAAGTTCATTCATTCATCCATCCATTGCGATATTCATCTCACTGTGAATAGCTTAACAATGTCCTGATATCATTTATATGCTGAATAGAGTAACCATGGTAACAATAATAAATTGAAAGGAGGGGATTCAATTCTTTCATATACATATATATCTCAATAACTGGAATCAAATTATTATGCATGTAGAGAATGACAGAAAAAGAATTGATGAGAATATTTTTGGGTTTTACACTTAGAGGGATGACATGCGAATCGAACACGCCCACTCCATGGCAAAGTATCATATGCAGATAAGCTGGACTGCCGATATCAGTGTGATTATTCAGAAGAATTATGAAAGACAAGTATAAAATGGATCCACACAAAAAACTTGGAGGATCTAGACTTCTTTGATGATATATGTCTGATTTCCAACAAACTGGAAGATATGCAAGCGAAAACCAACAAATTGGCAGAAGAAGCATCCAGATAAGATAGGACTTCAGGTGAACATAGAGAAAATAGAGGTGTTAAAGATTCCTGGCCAACACCACCAACAGCAGCAACAACAACAACAGACAACAATCAGCCAGCGTAAATGAGAGGAACCTGAAAGAAACAACCTCCTTTACCTACCTGGGAAACATCGTCTCAACGACAGGCAGACGGAACTGACTAGGATATCAAAGCAAAAATCGGAAAGGCAAGACAAGCTTTCACTACTCTCAAGTCTGTGTGGGGGTCAACAGCACTCAGCATCAAAATCAGAATAAGATTCGGATTTTCAACTCCAATGTGAAGTCAGTCAGTGCTA